TTACAATGGTGTTTTCTCTTCCCATAAGATGGGTATGTTTTTCTCTTCTCTCTCTCTTTTGTCAATAGTGGTGAAGAAGCAGCCCCTTTTCTAGGGCTTCCACTCTTAGTATTTATAGATGTGAGCTTCGTGAGCTGGCAATAAATGGCCGTGGCCACGCTGAGGTTCCGTCCCCATGGGGGAATGAATGGGTCGTGCCCTCGTAGATTAAATCGGACAAGAGTCGAATCCTCTTATGAATAAGTGGCCATGCCACTTATTAATTATGGATTAGCTCAAGACGAGATTAACTCCGTTAATTACCGTGAGATCGGATTCTGACCCATACAAATACAGTAGCTTAAATACATTAAATACATCTTATAACAACAGAAAAGGTATCTACATTTTGTAATATATCAAATGGTATCTATAGATAGCTAATTACAAAGCTGTTAGCTTAATCAAGAAAGTTGCTTAGAGAAGTCCCAACTAGACGTTGTTTCTTATACTATTGCCGTTAGTGGACTACTTACTGGTGGTCAAGTTGGAGAAGCATATGCCTTGTTCCGCTAAATGAAGGAGGTTGGTCTAGCGCCAAGTAAGCAGACTTATAATCTGATTCTCTTCGGTTTTTGTAAAAGAAGTGATGTTTGCATGGTTAAAGAGATCCTACTTGAAATGGTCGGAGCTGTAACGCGAGGATTTTTGCGATTCTAAGGGAGTACGGTGCAACTTTTTCCAAGAATATCGTACGAATTTTTCCCTATTTTAATCCGCCATTATATGTTTTTCGCAAAAGACACGTGTTAGAGGGATTGTCAAGAGAATCGGCTCAGGTATGTTAAGGTCATCCCTTCTTTCTTTTTTTGGCATGATCCAAATTATACGGAAGAAACGAGCAAACGCACAACTTTCATAAATTACTCTATTCGTAGAAATGCTAGAGATGTGTATATTCTTATTCTCCCATAAGTCTTATTATTCTATCGTCGGTTCATGGGTCTAAAAAAAATGCGTATTTGATAAAGTTTATCCAAAAGGCATATTGTGTTTTATGGCATTCCGAGAAAATCTTATTTCTTATGCATTTCATGCATTTATACATGTACATTGACCCATGACCAGATGGCGTTATATAAACGTATATATGTATATTATATTATATGGGATACGGGAAAAAGGTTACGACGTTATATACGCACCACCACCTAATCAGCTGGTATACGATGATGATATTGCCCACAGTGGCTGAAATGATATGATGGGATGATGATCACGCCCAACTATGCCTTATAAAAAGGACAATGCGGTCGCTGCAAATATAATCCGGTTTACAAGTCCGGAGTCGAATCCCACAGAGAACTAAGGTTTAGCTACAGCTGTTCACTATCACCAAGAAGACAAGCTTGAACAATTCCTAACTTATAGATATTAAGATTCTTGTGTTTAACTAATTAACTAATAAATTAAAATAGTAAATTAACAACTAACGATACTGAGGGTTATAGAAAAGATTAAGGAGGTCTAGAGTTATGATTTCCCCTATTGTCGGAATCCTTCCCGCTATGTCTTCTATAATTTCGCCTAAGTATTCTCTACCGATCATGAGCACTCTTATTACCGTAAATCTCTCCCGAGTAATTACGACAATTTACTAGACGCACTCTCCCGAGCTACGCTAGCTGGATTTTAATACAGCTCACTTCAGATCGCACCCAAGGCTTCGTTATCCCTAATCCCGCCTTTAAACCCTCGGTTATTGATCCCTCATATACTCTGGGAGTGGTATTGTTCAACAATTACCTAAATATGCACTCTCTCCCGAGTTATGCATACTAAATAGGCACAACTAATTGAGAGCTCTTCAATCAACCAGAATATAAACGTAGTTGAACAAATAGAGAAAAGCTATGGCTCAATTATATAAAAACATAACAAGAATTTATCCTACAAAAGGTTCTATCAAAACTCTAGATAACAAATTAGCTATTCATAATAGTATGTAAAACTACAATACTAAAAGTCATAACCAACAATGAAAAATAGGAAGAGGAAGGAAAAAACTCGTAGAAGAATTCTCCGCCTTGCTCCCAATGTGTTCTTGCCTCCAAGGGTGTTGTCTAACCCTAAAGTAGTGTCTCTCCGCCTCCTTAGGTCTAATTTTGTGTCCAAAATATGTCCCCCTCTTGTTCTTGGCCGGCCTACTTTGTTTAATATAGGGTTTAGGACTTAAAATCCCATGTTTTGCACTTTAGTCCCTGAAATTTTCGCTTCCTGCCGCGGTCCCACCCCGGTCGCGGTCAAACCGCGGCCAAACATACTCTCTGATTCTTCAGTTGTCTGCGAGTACATCCTGCCGCGGTTCTGCCGCGGTCGCGGTGGAACCGCGGTTTTTCACCCTGTTCCGTTTGGAATTTGGAAAAATGTAAAACATGAAAGTTGTAGCCCTTTGAGTTAGCTTTTCAACCATATATTGTGGAGCCCAAATGGAGTTCTGAGCAAAAAGTTATGTCTATTTTACTAGACAGTGCGCAATATGCCTCCTCAAGTCTTCGTTCGTAGTTAATTATCAAATTTGACCCCCGAACACGATCCCGGCTTAATTCCTTGAGCTTTTACTCAGACTTCAAAGCTTCACATCACTTAAATTCATTCCATAACATCTATATAGCTCGGAATCACACCTACAAGGCATAAAACACACAATTAGTGCAAAACACTAGCGATTAAAACGCAAACTCAATTAAAGTGCAGTAAATTCGAGTGTAATAAGCGACTAAAATATGCTCGGAATCAGAGGCTTGATGATGTTATGTACGTACAGACCTATGCATTACATGACATTTATACGCATATGCATGACATTATAAATATTTCATGATTTACAAAGCTATCCAGACTTACAGGATGAGTCATTTACTCCATGTTTCTTCCATGCTCTATATATATTTATTTACATGCCTTACATACTCAGTACATTTTTCGTACTGACGTCCTTTTGTTGGGACGCTGCATTCATGCCTGCAGGTATAGATAATCAATTTGACGAGCCCTCATAGTTGACGAGATTTGCTTCAGCGAAGAATTGGTAAGACTCCACCTCATTCGGAGTGTAGCCGAGTCTATGAGTCATCGTGTCAGGATTTCGCTACAGGCTTATGGGTAGGCCGGTACCCTGTCCCATTTGATGTCAACTAATCTTATAGGCTTTGTAGACAGAGGTTCATTTTGCACAGTATGTCAGAGGCCTTGATGGCCCATATGTATTCATGTTTTAAGAATGATGCTTCATTAACATAACATTTGCTCACTTACAATTGTACATTACGAGTTGTGGCCATGTTGGCCCATCATAGTTAGAAAAGGAATGAATGAGTTACAGAGTGGTTCTTTCGGGCCACTACGACACCGGGTGCTAGCCACACCTCCCCAGGTTTGGGGTGTGACAGTAAGATCTGTCTTTCAGCGGGCATGAGTGCAGTTTGCTGAAATTTCTGACCTTGAAAAGTTTGTTTTTTTCAGGCTCGAATACTTAAAATACCAATCACAGTTGTTGTTGATGCATACTAGGCAGTACCTACGACAAGGATATAAACGTTTCCATCAATAAACAGAGCGACATGAAATACAATGATATATAGTGATACACACTGCCATCAACAATACTAGATGAAAAATACAACGACTATACATTACTAGACGGTGACAACTACAACTTAAAAGTGTACAGCCACATATTTACAAACAACAACTTATTTTCTGCATAATTATGCTTCTAACATCAACTACGATACACATTGAGATACATAATTATACAGTAAATTTTTTGATACCTGCTTTCACTTGATCTATGCACCTTAAACTGGAATTTTTCCTTTACTGCCAAGTGCTTCATGACTTTGACTATCGTAGCCTTGTCTTTATAAATTTGACATTCTTCTACATCTATATGTTGAGGGTCAGTTATTATTGTATTTGATCAGATTATGTATCCAGCCAGTCTTCTCCATCCCCAAACTCAATCATATTAATTGTATCGCTATTGTATCTCTCCTCTATAACTGAGCTTTATGCACATTCTGAGGAAATCATAGCAGAATTTGAATTGTAGCTGATCATGTCCATATCCTTTTCACTCGATGTTATACAAAGGGGATACATTATAAATTCCGAGCTTTTTTCCAGCTCAAGATATACACATACACCCATATTATTGTGTATCACTATTGGTGGAGAACCATTTTGGACAGTGTATTTGATTTCAATAACATTCAATGAAGTATCTATCGTAAGTTGTTTCGAAATCACGTCTACAAAATCTTCAAAACTTATATTTGGAGTAACTATTACATCATCTACATTGTAATCTACAAAGCTGTTATTAACATTTCATCGGCCGCCATACTGAATAAAAATTGGTAAATTTGCCATTGAAGTAGCTGAAATTAGGTCAAAACTCACTAATTCCTTGATTGATTTTGATTGTAGTTCGTAGTTCCTTCATCAAAGATATATCTACACAAAAGGAAATTGTTGCTTCTATAGTAAAATTGATCGATTTTGAATGAAATTTGGAGCTCCTTTTTAGAATTTTTTGTGAGAGAATGCTGTGATTTACAGAGGGAGAAAATATCGTGATCTATTAAATTGATACACTTGAAAAATAGGGAAGGAAGGAAGATCTTTAGCGTGATTCTTGGATGGAAGAATCCTTCCTTGCGTGTATCTCTATTTTTGGGCTACTTCTTGTAAGTGTCTTATCTTGGACTAGAGATTGGTAAGTTTGAGTTTAAGTTAGCTATTTATGTACTTTCCCAAAAATAAACACCTGACGCGCAGAAGGTCACTCCGCAAATTCTTGGAAATCGTGGGTCTTGGCCCAAGCCCAATTATTCTAGCGGGCCGGAAGAACAACGATAAAACCTTTAAGATTGAACCCCTAAAAGCCAAGTATAAATTAAAACCAAACGGAAACTGGATTCACCTCAAAAACCTTTCGACCACTCCGCCGCTAACTCTCCTCCTCTCCAGCGAATTCAGCTTCTGTTTCTCCGAGGGAATCAAAGTGTACGTTTCTCTTAGTAATGAATTTTCATCGGAATACAATAATTTTAGTTGAATTGCACTATAATTTTGTGTTCGCTTAAAGTTCGTATTGGTTTTTCATTTTGTCTGATATCGATGTGATAATGACTCTAAATTGCGATTGTCTACTACTTTTACCTTTCCGTAGAATCTTGAGAGTAATTACAAAACCCTCTATTCAGTTATGCAATGGCAGATTTTCCATGGACTATTTTCATTTTCCACCTTGATGCTATAAATTTGCTTCTATACTTGTGGGTTAGGAAGTTTAAACTGTTGTTGGTCTTTATCCTAGTCCGATGGGCCATTAGATTGACAGACGTTATGCTCACTGTCCGCTTGTAGTGGACTTGTTCATGAGAAATCTTTATTTGTAATCGGGTTGCCTATGTTCTCAATGCGTAAAATTATTAAATGGTGTCTTGTTACAATGGGTGTTTGAGAGATATGATATTGTGGGCTACTGTTGCTGCGTGATGCCTCCTAAGATATGAAGCTATAGGATATCAAAATTAAGTTGATTTTTAATGCACCCTACGGTGTGGCCTAGTGGTCAATGAAGTGGGTTGAGAACCATGGGGTCTCATGCTTAAATCCAGAGGAAAAAACACTAGGTGATTTCTTCCCATCTATCCAAGTGGACAAAATTACTTGGTACCTGTTGCTAGCGGGAGGTAGCGGGTATCTCGTGTAATTAGTCAAGGTGAGCATATGCTGGTTTGGACAACCGCGGTTATAAAAAAATAAGCTGATTTTTAATGGTATGTAAAAGAAAGTCTTTGTTGCGTTTTAGTGGATTTGTCTGGCTTGGCTAAATGGCGCAGTTTTGGTGAACCATAGAAGACCATGTTACATGAACTTGTATTTGATACGTTTCATACTTTTCTATAAGCAATATTAGTGTATTATGAAGAATCCATACAAATACCAGCTCCATGTAGGCTGTAACATAGCTGAAAGGGGCAGTTAGATTGAAATCAAGATTTGTTTGTGATAACATGCCAACTAACTAATCATATGAAACCAAGAAGTCCCTCCGTTCCAATTTATGCTATGTAGTTTGACTCAACACGGAATTTAAGAAAAAAATGAAATACTTTTGAAACTTGTGGTCTTAAACATGCCATAACATTTGTGTTGCTATAAAAGCTTTTCATTAAGAGTAAAATGAGAAGCAGTTGTTTCGAAATATAGAAGTATGCCTTTCTTTTTGGAATGAACTAGTAAGGTAATAGTGTTACATAAATTGGAACAGTTAATATACAGTTGCGTGTGCAGAAGGAAAAAGGTTATCTTCTGTACTTTCATAAAAATCTGAACCCTACATCACACTTTTGCTGAATGCTTTTGATTTGAGAGCATGTTGAGGGCATGTGATTACAGAAGCTGCGCTACTCTGTTTGGATGTCTAGGTGTTCTTTAATGCATGTTGTCTGCATATTTGAACTGGAAAATGGTTGTTAGCTATAACATCATATGCTTTAACAGTTACAGATATAGGAACACTTTCTCTATTGAACATGAAGGCTACTATTTTCTGTTGAACCCTTTTTGTCATCCCCCCCCCCCCCCCCCCCCCCCAAATTATTTCTTAAATATATATTGTATCTCCAGAATGGAATCTGCAACCAAGCATGCTATTGTGGTGAAAGTCATGGGCCGCACAGGATCAAGAGGGCAGGTGACTCAGGTGAGAGTCAAGTTCTTAGATGACCAGAACCGGTTTATCATGAGAAACGTCAAGGGACCAGTCAGAGAGGGAGATGTTCTCACACTTCTGGAGTCTGAGAGGGAAGCCAGGAGGCTGCGCTGAGCGTTTCATTTGTTCTAGAGATGGTTTTGATTACCTTGATACTATGATAGCTATCGTTTTAGTCCTTTAAGAAAAATGTTTGGTATCGTTTTCAGGACCTATGTTAAGTGTGCAGTAGCGTTGAGTATTTCTCTCTTGCAAGTTATTGCTGGAAAATGTTGTGATGATTGATTGGTATCCTTTTTTTTCCCTCACAAAATGTTTTGCTTCTCATCGATCTTTTCGTGGCTGTTCCTAACTTCCCAGCATGCTAGTCTGAGAATCTATTTTCAATAACTTTCCTCCGTCATTCTATGCAATGGATCTTTGAGTATGTCTTATGTTCTTATCTAGTGAAAACTTAAAAATATGCATAGTTGCAGACTAGAAGAAGAAAGTCATTTTGTAAAATATGTTATGTGTGGGAAGTTATTTTTCTTATTTATGGAGATGGACATTGTCCTGACACGTATTTAAGAAAATATATCTTTAATTTTCAAATAGTTTAATCTTTTTCGAAAAACAGAAAGTTTTACTTAAAAGTGTTCACATTGTAGATTGATCAAAACCACTCCATATATGAAGGAAACATGGTAAAATAATGCAGGGGCGTATCTAAGGTTATATTTTATTTTTAAATCATGTATAGTAATGTTATGTTTTTTATTTTTATTTTTAATATATGTTTGTGCACTCATGTTCAAAGTATTATATAATGTGATAGTTATTTTGGTGTATCTCTCTAGGTGAGGTTGTGAGTTCAAATCTTATGTCAATCTTATTATTTTTTTCCTCTTTTTTTTTCTAGAACTAGACGCCCACGGGAGATGGGCGTGTCTGGTGTTATTTATTGCGTATTTTAAGTACTTTTTCTTTTTATTTCTTTTTTGTTTGGTTTATTCTTTAAAATTTTCACACATTGAAATTCCTATTCTTCTTTTGTCGCTGTAAAATCTTGTATGATTAAACAAAATATGTATATTAAAACTAGAAGTAGTGTATGATGTAGCATATAGTCAATGGGTTCAACTGATAATATTTTCAACATGAAAAATAAATATAGATGTAAGAAAATTACTATTTAAAAATAAATTGAACTTATAATTCCAAAAGTGTAACGGGTAGCAATTGTAAGAACTAAAAATATTTAACCCATAAAATTTATATTCTGGATCCACCTCTTTTTAATAGTACACTCATCCTCTCATAATCTTGGATACGCCTCTGTAATAATGGTTAAAGTCTAGAAACTAAATGACATTGAGAACTTAAACAAAAATATTGGCAGAAGACTAAAGAATGAAAGTAATGCATTCAATTTCAGAAGTAAATAAAATATGATACAGGACCACAAAAGTGATTCTTTACTCTTGAAGAAATAAATAGACAAAAAGTTGTATGTAGAAAAGAAAAAGTGAGCTTTTATGTTATTTTTTTTTTTTGGGTACATACGTAACGGCTGGCAAACGGGTCGGGCTCGGTCCTAAACGGGCCTCGTGAGCCGGTCCTAAATGGGCCTGTCCTATGTGGGCCCGGGCTTCGTGTCCCGGGCTTAAACGGGCTTCGTCGGCCGGTCCTAAGTGGGTCGGTTCTATGTGGGCCCGGGCTTCGTGGGCCGGGCTTAAATGGTCCCGAGATTCGTGGGCTTTTGGAGGTAATCGGACCAGGACCGGGACCACGAACTAATGGTCCCGGACTAAGTGGACCGGGTCCGGGCCAAACGGGCCTAAGTGGGCCTGGCCTATTTTTTTTTAATTTTTTTATCTAAGGCAATTTCTTGTAAATTATATATATATATATATATATATATATATATATATATATATATATATATATATATATATATATATATATNAATACGTCTAATAATTTTAAAATAACACAAATTGTCTCAAATCAACTTAAAATCTTAAATACGAATATCTGGAGAACGCGCAAAACAACTCTTTATATGCCACCTTAAACAGCCCGTGCCCTCCAACTTTGGACGATGAGTGTAGACTCGACCACAATTCTTGCACTTTTATTATGTAAACTTCTTCATTTTCTTCTACCACATTAAAGTGTTCCAAAACAAATGGGCGCACTCTAGAATCACCGGGCATGATTTAACTTGAATTAAGAATTTGAGTTTGAGAAATGAGAGATGAGTGAAGACTTGAAGACTTGAATGCTTCAATTTAAGTTTGAGAAATGAGAGAGATTGATGATTTTGTGAGAAAAATGAAAGAATAAGGGGTATTTATATTTGAAAGTAGGGAAAAAGTATAATTATAAAAAGTTTGGGGTTAAAACAAAGTTTGGGGGGAGGGGGGAGGGGGGGGGGGGGTTAAATGGCTATTTTAGTAAGCCCAAACGGCTATTTTTTAAATGACCCAACGGTCAGATTTTTTTGTGGAATTTTTTTTTAAATGTAGTCGTTGGGACCGTTTAGGACCGGTTTAACCGGCCCACTTAGGACCCGTTCCCGGGCCCAAACGGTCCTGGTCCTAACGGGCTTCTTCAATGAACAAGCCCACTTGGGCCTGCACCTCCCCCTGGTCCCGGGCTTAAACGATTAGGCCCGTTTAGGTCCACTACCCATATGGGCTCGTGGGCCTGGACCGGGCCCGGGCTTTACCGGCCCACTTGCCAGCCTTAGTACATAGTATGTAGTAAATGTTTCCATTATTGTTGCACGATTTATAAAGGAAAGACTAAATTCTATTTGATGTTAAAAGAATACAATTCAATACAATATCGCAAATGCTAGGTATCGTTTACATGCTAGTCTAGGGGTGTACAAAGGAAACCGACAAATAGCACCAAATCAATAATCCGAGTCAAACCGGAAAAAAAATTTGACTATAATTTGGTTTGATTTGGTTTGCCGTTAGAAAAAAAAACTCGACCATAATTGGTTTTGTTTGGTTTTAACTAAAAATAGTCAAACCGAAGCCAAACCAACCCGAAAAATATTTTATACATAAAAATAATTATTGTAATGTAATTTATAAATATAACTTAAACTCTTTAATAGTTCTCTCTTTTAATGTATTATTTCAAGTTTGGACTTAGAACTTTTGAATGGTCAAATATGTTTTATAAACCATAAAAGTTAGTAACTCAAATAAAGCCCAAAGCAAAATCAAATCAATACTAATGCTAATAAAAAAAATTAATTCAATACTAGAAATGACAATAGTATTGGATATTTACTTTTTTAGTTTTGCATTGATTTAGATAGTGAAAATCTATAACTCACTTTTAATATTATTTAGTCATGTAATTAATATTTAGTACTTATTAGTCGTACTTACTTTAACATGACTTAGTACTTTTAGATTATGTTTATTTTTATTATGGTTTTCTAATTATCAATATTTATCTTATGCGATTTGTTGAGTATTTTAGTAAAATCATGACTATCTCACATTATTTTGTATTATTTTACTGGGTAACATCTTATATAGTTTTATCCTACTAGGACCTAAGAAATATTAAAGCACAAATTATAAATTTTATGCTATGAAGATTTTGTCGGAGAAAACCCCGAAAAATCCGAGAAAACCGAAAAATTCGAGAAAAACCGTGATTGAAAAATCTGACTTTAGTTGGTTTGGTCTGATTTATAAATTTAAAAATCCGAGATAATTGGTTTGGTTGGTAATTGAAAAATCCAAACCAATCCGGCCTATGTACCCCTACATGCCACATACATATTTCTTTTTCGGATTACAAAAAAGGCATTTTGTTAGAAAGGGTTATCAGGAGAAAGAGGAAGAAAAGGTAAGAACTAAACATGGAGCCATTGGCTTCTAATAACTAACGAATAACAAGATTAAATCTAATAAAAATGCCAAGAATAAAATAAATAAAAAAAGGAATTTCCAATTCAATACAATTTTCAAAGGGGGCATCTTTCCAGTTCAACTAATCTTGTACAACTATGGGGTCAACTAAATTAAAAATCTAGGAGTGATAAGACTTGAAAAAGATGTTTAATCTTCTCTCTTTTCTAAAGAAGATTTAAGAATAATTCAGAGAATATTCCACTTTAGTCCTTGAATTTTAAAATGCCTACTCAAAATATTGAGAGAAAATGCCAAATAGTCCTCAAACTGAGGGGAATTGAAGGATAATATGTTTGCATGATTTTTACAAAAGCTTTCACGAATATTTATTAAAAGGAAATTTGTGAACAAAAATGTAGTATTTTGAAATTTTATGAATATTTCCAAAAAATCTCTTTACGAAAAATACCTCAAGCAATATACAAACAGCCTGGTCTAATAATTTCTCTCACTTTATATCTTTATTAAAAAAGAAAAAGCCTCTTGTCTTTATCACCCACTTTTAAGATCATACTAATAGATTAAGATCCCAGCAAAAAGTATAAATTTGGCGTTTATGGCAAAAGAATTAATGGAATCTTTGAATGAAACAAAAAGAGAATTTTATGAAACAAGAGCAGCGTGTTCCATCATTATCTCTTCGTAGATTTTTAAACTAATAATTAATTGATTCTAATCCGATACCCTCCACTCCCACTAAAAAATAAAAAGAAAAAGAATTTTCTATAATTCAACGTCATCTTGAAATGAATTATCTAGAAAGCCTCAAGTTAACGGTGGCAGGAACCCATAATACTTGGCGACTTTCTTTTTCTCCTATTTTGACCTTAGATTAATGCACATGAAGAGAAAAGACATGAATTAAATTCAACGGTGAATCCAGAATTTTAGGCTTATAGGTTCTTACAATGATTTCAAATTAATATACATAAAAATGGGATCAACAAACTGAATTCCAAGCTAAAAATTCTAATATCTCTAATGAATTATTTTAGTATTAATACAAAATATATGCAAAAATTACTAAGTTTACGTGAATCGGTAACCTTTGCATTAGATCCGTCCCTGACTAAATTATTTAGTCCTTTATTAAGTCCAACTGAGTTAACATAAGAATTGATTGGGATCCGGGCGGAGCTAGAGTGTCAGGAGCGGGTTCGGGCGAACGCAGTAACTTTGGTTTGAACCTTAATTTGTCTTAAAAGATCTATTAAATAAGTATAAATTATTAATTTAGAACCCAGTAACTTAAAACGATTATCCCGAACCCATAAGCTTGAAATCCTATTGGCATCTACTTATCGTCAATACCCGATCTTGCTATTAGCAATATTCGTGTCTTTATCATCCAACACCAACAACAACAAACCTAGCATATTCCTACAAGTGGGGTCTGGGGAGGGTA